AGACGGGCGCCTACCTGCAGTTCCTGAGCATCCTGTCCCGGATGCTCATCCGGCTCACGGAGGTGGACGTCTACGACGAAGAGGAGATCAACAGCAGTGAGTTGGCCGGAGGGGCCGGGCCGGGCCGGCACCCGCTGCTCGAGGGACCTGCGCCGCTCACCGGCTGGGGGCTGGGACTGCAGCCGAGACACACGCCGGGGCCTGCCGGCTTCTCTCTTTCCCGGGCCGTCATTTGGCTCCGTCTCCACCGCGCGCCTGGGCGCCCTCTGTGACGGGCACCAAACGCAGCCCGCGGTTTCCGGGCGTCTCCGCGGGCCCCCGCTGCGGGTGGACGAGTGGCGTTATCCCCGCACGCCTCCCCTGAGAGGCGAGCCCACTGTCCTGATGGCGCCCCACTCGGGCCCCGGGGGCGGGGGGCAGCTGGAGCTAAACTGGACTCTGTTGCCGTCTCCTGAAAGTGGCCCTGTCCACCAGACGGTGTCCACTGGGCAGGGGGCTCTTGCGTGAGGAAAGCCTTGTCCCATGCGTGAGGCGGGGTGTCCCTCCGGGCGGCACCCCTGAGAGGCGTCCTGGCGCCTGGGACACCCCCAGCCGCCCAGAACGGGCCCGCCGATGGGTCTGTTACTGTGGGGCTGGAAATGCGTGTGAGGAGTCCAGCGTTGTAGAGAGAAGCAGGCCGCGCTGACCCCCAGTGGCCGCGCTGACCGCCACCGGCGCGTCCTGATTTCTAATGTCCAGATTAATGAACACGCTGTGAGTCACCACGAGTCAGTAACAGGCCATCGCCTCAGCCCAGACGCGCTGCTCACGGCAGGCGTGGCCGGGATGGCCGCCGGGGTCCGTGGAGGGGTCCACTCCCGTCAGCAGAAGAACAGATAAACGTGGATGCGTGCGGGAGTATGTCCGGCCTTTGTGGCAGGAAGCCCTGGGCTGCGCGCACACACGCGCACACACGCACACACACACACACACACATACACGCACACACGCGCACACACACACGCGCACACACGTACACACACGCACACACACGCACGCGCACACACGTACACACACGCACACACACGCACGCGCACACACGCACACACACGTACACACATACACGTGCACACACGCACGTGCACACACGCGCACACACACACGCACACACACACGCGCACGCACACGCGCACGCACACACGCACACACATGCACACACGCGCACACACGCACACACATACACGCACACGCACGCACGCACACGCGCGCACACGCACGCACGCACACACACACGCACACACACACACACGCACACCCGTGCGTGCGCATGTGCGCTTGAGTTTTGACTTGGGAGAGTCGGGAGCCGCAGAGCCCTCGGGCCTGCGCGCCCGTTCCCGGCTCTGAGTTTTCCGTGGAGCCCACGGTTGACTGTGTTTCAGGTGGAAATGAGCAGGCTAGTGAGTTTCTGGCCCTCACTTTCTTGGCTATCCCGGTGGTGGCAGGACTTGAACCCAGTTAAAATCCAGAGTCCTTTTTTTTTAAGATTTATTTATGCATAGAGGAACTTGGGGCACCGAGGTGCAGGAGGTGAGAGGCTTCCCCAGAGACAGAGCGGGGAGCAGAACAGGCCGATCTACTGAAACCCACTGCTGCGGGGAGCAGCGGGGAGACAGGAGGGGGCTGCCGCGCCCTGTGGGTCACCCCCTGGCCGGGGATCGAACTCGGGGGATCGAACTCGCGCGGCAGCGGCTGCAGATGGCTTCATAGTGCTGTGCTGTAACCCGGTGCGCCACCCGGGAGCCCCAAAGTCTTAATACCCTCTTAGTGCCTTGGTGTCTTCTTGGGGAGACAATTGCTGCTTACCAGGGCGTTGTGAGGATTAAATGGCGCCGCGCATACAAGCCCCAGGCGCCAGCCAGCGCACAGTAAACAGCCCTGTCCTTACTCTGTGTCCTGCTGTGTGTGTAACGGAGTAGGAGAGAGCGAGCCAGCATGATCCCGTGTGCTCACATAATCGCACGTGTTGCTGTTGAGTTGGGCCAGCTGGCTTCTTTCTCAGTCTACGAGTCCCCCTTGTCAAGCACGTAGACGACAGTAGCCGTGACGTACGGTCGTGGTGTAAGTGTGACCCAGGCCCGAGTGGCGGCCATCCGGGGAAACCCGTGCACGTGAGCACCAACAGGCGCCACGCAGGCCGAGGGCGGCAGCTGCCCGCGGTGCACTTTGACACAGGGCGAGAAGGCGACGACCGCAGGCCCCACTGGTGGTTGAAACCATCAGTTTCTGGGCCCAGGCGGGTGCAGGAGCAGAGCAGAGAGCCCGTGTGTTGGGGGATCAAAGCCAGGCTGAGGGCTGGAGGCGCAGAGCCCTCCCATGGGAAACAGTCCGGCTCTTCAGCGAGAACAATCCTGAAGATAGGACATGTGCCAGGAGCCTTGGGGCTGTCGTGTCCCCCCGAACGCCAAAGACTCGGCAACTCGGGCATCCTCGGTGGGCTTCTTGTCACTTGTCTGTGTCCGCCGTCCGCAGACCTGCGAGGAGAAGCAGACTGGCACTACCTGCAGCCCAGTGACCCCTGGCCGGACGTGGAGCTGCTCAAGAAGATGCCTTTCGACTACATCCTCCACGACCCCAAGTACGAGGACGCCAGTCTGATCTGCTCACAGCATCAGAACGTCAGGAGCAAAGGTCAGACTCGGAGGCCTCCTGCTTCACCTCCTAGAATACTTGGGAACCGCCCGATAGCGGGAGGAGCCCAGCCTGCTGCGTGGTGGGTCTGATCACCCGAGCTGGGGGACCCGTGTTGCTGCTCTGCCGGGGGGGGGGGCTCCCCCTGGCGGGCACCTCTAAAACAAGAGGCTTTCACGGGCGCTCCAGTCAAACACACAGGCCCACAGCATGAATTTACCGGGGGCCCCACATTATAATGACAGACGCGCGGTTCAGTTGGTAGGGAGAGGCAGGAGGTCGTGCATCTCTTGGCGACGTGGTGGACACTGGCAGATAGCAGCAGCTCTGGTGGGGGCTCCCGGCGGCCGTCCCAGGCGGGAGGTCATGAGCGCGAGGCCCCCGACAGCTTCAGCGCCTTGGAGAGGGCGTGGGCCCCACAGGCACCTCAGCTGTCTCAGATTCGTCCCTGCATTCAGGCCTCCCCGGGCGGCTCGTGGGGGCCGCTGGTCCGTCTCGGCGTGGGCACAGCACTTCTGCCCGCCTGGACTCTCCCGTCTGCTCCGTCAGCAGGTGGTTGCTGTCTGATCAGTAACTCGGTTGCTCTTTTGCAGTTTTCCACCAGTCCAGGGTCACCGTGTCACCCACTGTGTCACACACGCGGTCTCCACCCACGTGGGTCGTCACCGTGTCAGTGCCTGTCCGGGCGCCCGCGGAGAGAGAGGGGGTGCGGGGTGCTGGCGGGGCCCGAGGCCCCGCTTGTTCGTGCAGGATCAGGGTGTTCCGCGGGTTCTGGCCGTGCGCCCGGACAAGGCCGGCCGGACGCTTCCAGGCCATGGCGGTCAGTCAGCGAAGGGCGGCTCTGAGTAAGGCCCGTCCTCCCGCGCCTCGGCCGCAGGGCAGAGGGCCGTTGGGGACAGCGGCCGGGAAGGAGCTCGCCAGAGGAGCGAGCTAGCGTGGGGGTGGGTGGCCAGACCCCTTGCCCCCTCCGTCGGGGCCCCGACGCCAGGGATCGCGGCGGC